TGAATTTAATTCCTGTGCATTTCATCTGGTTAGGTTTGTGTATATTGCCACCATTTATGTTTTGGAGAAAAGTTATTTGCAGTGAATAAGTCATTGGTCTTGCAAATTCTATCATCAGATCTCCAGTATCATTTCAATCACCATGGCCATCTTCTCCAACTTGTCAGGTGCTATGGAGTTGCCTCTGACTCATAATGACCCTATGTACAACCAAACAAAACCCTACCTGGTCCTGTGCCAGCTTCACAATCCTTACTATACCTGAGTCCACTGTTGCAGCCACTGTGTCAATCCATCTTGTTGAGGGCCTTTCGCTTTTTCACTGACACTCCACTTTACCAAGCATGATATTATTCTCCAGGGAATGGTCATTTCTGACAACATGACCAAAGTAGGTGAGACAAAGTCTGGACATTCTCACTTCTAAGGAGCATTCTGGGTGCACTTCTTCCAGGACAGATTTGTTAGTTTCCACTACTGATCCTTTTTCTTTGTTTCCAGGTTTTGCATTCCAATGACCAGTAATTATCAATGAATCTTGATAGTGTGTTTGATCAATTTTACACTGCAAAAATTGGGAAAAATCTTTAATTTCTTCATTTTTTTGCATTATTGGCAGATATGGAAATTTGAACAATAATCATATTCACTGATCTTCCTTGTAAGTATATGTATATTATCCTATTACTGATAGTGTTGTACTTCAGGGTAAATCTTGTGATGTTCTTTTTGATGATGAACGTGATGAATGAGACTCTATCCCTTTTTACTTTGTCATCTCCAGTGTAGTATACCTTATGATTCTCCAATACATAATAACCAATATCAACCCATTTCAGCTTATTAATGCTCATTAAAATAAGGAGTTCTGGTAGCACATCAGTCTTTACACATTTTGGTTTTAATGACTTTCAATTTTCCTAGGTTCATATTTTGCACATTGCCCATTTGAATTATTAATAGATGTTTGCAATAGTCTCTTCTCATTTTGAGTTGTGGCACATCAGCAAATGAAGGTCCTGTAATCTTTGTTCCATCCCCATCTTTAAGTTCAGCTCTCCTTTGAGGGACCAGCTTGTCACCAGTCAAATTTTGAGTGCCATCTAACTTGAGTACCTCATTTTCCAGCACTATACCAGGCAATGTTCTGGAACTTCTGAATTTGTAGCTAGCAGGTCAGAAGTGATGGAGAGTACCTGGGGACTCCCAAGGTTGTAATTGGCATTTAAAGTCTTGGGTAAACTTGGAAGTCTGGAGAACTGTACCCTAAACTTGTGAGGTCTGTTCTTGATCCAAGACAGAGGAGGAAATGCTCTCTATACACTTGGTATCAGAACAAATGTGGAACAGGGGGGAACAGAACCGATAATAAATCAATTTGAGATTGATTTGATTTTTCTAAATAGCATCAAGCTGAAGAAAAAAAAAAAAAAACCATAAAAGTACATGAACATAGAATGATAGATAAAAAGGGTGCTCTGGTGGCATAGTGCCTAAGGCATTTGACTGTTAACAGAACACTAGCAGTTCAAACCCACCAGCCTCTTCTGGGAAGGAAGATTGGGCAATTTACTTCTGTAGAGATACCGCCTTGGAAATCCAAGGAGGGGTAGCTATGAGTCGAATCAACTTGATGGTCTGGATACATGTGATAGTCCTTTTCAAAGGAAAAGGTATAATATGAGAAGTACAGAAAGTAACAAAACCCCAAAATAATTCTCCTATTGGAGTCTCAAGATGCTCCCTGTTAATTTATAAAGAAGCCTATGAAATAATATATTAAAAAATTATCATAAACTCACTGCTGTCAAGTCAATTTGACTCACAGCGACCCCTCCTCGGGTTTCTGAGATGGTATCTCTATAGAAGTAGATTGACCAATCTTCCTTCTGAGGAGTGGCTGGGGGGTTAGCAGTCAAATGCCTTATTATTGGCAACTATGAAAAGAAACATTGAAAATCCATGAAAGAAACAAACTACTGATACATGCAACAACATGAATATGAATGAACCCACAAATATACTGAATAAAAGAAGTCAGGCTGATACAAAGAAAGTTCATACTCTATGCCTCATGTTTATGAAATCTTAGAGTTTGCACAACTGAGAAGGGGTGCAAGGGAACATTCTGGACAATGCCCTGGGTCTTCAAAATGTGGTTTACACCAATATATGGATTTTTCAGAACAGATTTAAGGAGACACAAGGTTTGAATGTTTCACTGTATTTAAATTACCCTTAGATTAAAAAGATCATCTAAATGTTATTGTTGCTATTGTAAAGTATTTCTTATATTTTATAGATGATTTACTTAAAATTGAAGGGAGTCAGTGATAGATTTTGTTGTTGTTATATGCCGTTGAGTCAGACCTGACTCATAGTGCCCCCCCCCCTTTGGTTTCTGAGGCAGCATCACTAGGGAAGTAGATTGCCCAACTTTCCTTCTGAGGAGTGGCTGGTGGGTTTGAATTGTCAGACTTCTGGTTAGCAGTCAAGTGCCTTAGGCATTATGCTACCAGAGCAATAGAGTGTGTAGGCATAGAAATAAAACTTAGGTTTATCTGTGTACTGAAGGAGCTACAGTGGCGTAGGGTGTAAGGCATTTGACTGCTAACCAAAAGGTTGGTGGTTCAAATCCACCAGCCACTCCACAGAAGGCAGACTGGGAGATGTATTTTAATGAAGATTTACCACCTTGGAAATCCAAAGTTGGTCGCTATGAGTCTGAATCAACTCGATGGCTGTGAGTATAATTTGGTCTTGGTTTATCTATGCATTGAAAATGGTGAAAATTGGGTAATATTCACATAAGCAAACAATAACAACAACAAACTCACTGTCTTAGAGGTGACTCTGACTCATAGAGACCCCTCCTTGGGTTTCCGAGGCATTATCTCTAGGGAAGGAGATTGCCCAATTTTCCTTCCCAGGAGTGGCTGTTGGGTTTGAACCACCAGCCTTCTGGTTAGCAGTCAAATGCCTTAGGCACTACACCACCAGAGCTCCCATTATTCTCATAGTCACTGCCATAATTCTTTCTACTTTTATGTATCTTTAAACACTTTCCATAATGAGAAGTTGAAAAGAACAGAATCTTTTGGGTTCATCTTCTCATTTACCAATGAGAAATCTGGTAACAGAAGGAGAAAATAACTTGTCTAAAGTCTCAAATTCTAGCAGCAAACCAACTCCCAGGTTCAACTTTATTTCTCTGATTCCAACAAAACACAATTTAAGAGCTACTGCTTTAGCAAAGTTTATTATTATTATTACTTTTATTTTTAAACCAGACAGACCAACACTGCAAGGAGATTTTTTAAGCAATAAATATTTATGACCTCAAATTCATTCTTTCGTTCTTTTTTTCTACTGAATATGTGTGCATGAACATATATATATATATATATATATATAAAATCTTGTGCCGTGTTCTTTGTGATTTCAAAAGGTTGATTTGT